ATTGGCATAACAGTTTATAAAGACAATGTTCTACATTCTATCTTGGTGAGTAGCATCTGGGGTCTTAAAAGCCTGTAAGCAGCCATCTAAGATACTCTACTAGTCTCACCCCTTCAGGAGCAGGGGAGAATTAAGAGAACAAGATACAAGGAAAAGATTAATCCAAAGGACTAATGGACCATGGCTACCACGGCCTCCACCAGACGGAGTCCAGTACAGCTAGATGGTGCTCGGCTACCACCGATTGCCCTGACCAGGATCACAATAGAGGGTCCCAGGCAAAGCTGGAAAAGGATGTAGAACAAAATTCTAACTCACAAAAAAAAGACCAGATTTACTGGCCTGATAGACTGGAGAAACCCCGAGAGTATGGCCCCTGGACACCCTTTAGCTCAGTGGTGAAGTCACTCCCAAAGTTCACCGTTCAGCCGGGGACTGGACAGCCTCATAAAACAAAACGGGACTAATGAGGCACAGCAGTCCAGGGACAAGGACTAGAAGACAGGAGGGGACAGGAAAGCTGGTGATAGGGAACCCAAGGATAAGAAGGGACAGTGTTGACATGTTGTGGGGTTGTTAACCATTGTCATAGGGCAATATGTGTACTAACTGTTTAATGAGAAACTATTTGTTCTGCAGACCTTCATCTAAGGTACAAAAAAAAAAAAAAAAAAATTATCTATGTGAGATCAAACTGACAACAGCAACTCAAAAGGTCTGATGGGAAGCCTAGGCGACAGTGAGCTGAAGATAATAGTGATGGAATAATTTGGAAAAGATTAGTGAGAATAGCAGCACAACGGGAAGAATGTAATCAATGTCACTGAATTGTACATGTAGAAATTTTTGAAATGGTGTAACTTTGGCTATGTATACCTTCACCAAAAAAAAAAAAGGTCCTCCAAGGTCGAGAAGGGAGAGTGCTGACATGTTGTGGGGTTGTTAACCAATGTCGTAAAACAATATGCGTACTGACTGTTTAATGAGAAACTGTTAGTTCTGTAAACCTTCATCTAAAGTACAATAAAAAAAAAGAAAAGAAAAAAAAATTCTGCATACAATTTCATGAAATTCAGAGATTTCCTAAAGCCCAATCAAGGATCCTCAAGGGATCCCATATGTAAAAACTTCACAGCAGAGTTTCTGTGACATTTAAGTTAGGCCTGGAAGCTTGAGTAGAATTTTAATGAGCAAAGGCAGAGAAGAAAGCTTTTCAGACCGATGATTAATTAAAATAAGTTTATGACAGTACCTAACAGCAAACATTTACAGAATGTCCATTCCATACCAGTTAATACACTAGACGCTGGGGATACAATAAGATAGCCTCTGAAGAGTTCATTCTCTGGTGACAATCAATTAGGATATTCATTGAGCAAATATCTGTTTCAAGCACCAGTAAATATCTATATTTCTAACAAACATTCAGACAAATACTCTGTTTCAGGCACCATCTGGGCCCTAGGTATACAACAGTAAATGAAACTGTCTTGGCCTCAAAGAACATACTAATAAGAGAATTAAGATAATTTCAATAATCGTGTACTACGATGGAAAAAAAAACACAAAGTGTGCTAGGAAACCAACAAAAGGAATATCTAATTCAGATTCTTCTAATAAAAAATGACAATTTGATGACAAGAAAAAGGAAAGATAAAGGTAGAAGCACAATTCAAAGGAGAAATAATGGGTTCTATTTCAATAACAGTAAGTCACTGACCTTCTGGAGATCTAAGTATGAAGTATAACAAACATTACTCTGTGTCATGTGAAGTGACAAACAACAAAGTCATTTCTGAGAGGTGAATCTTTGCTGATCAGCAAGGCTCTCACCTAAATGAATGGAATCTAAGCAGCCTCACAGCTCACACGTTTGTCTTTGCAAAATCATAAATTATTACAAATTATGGACCTTCAAGGTCACTTCCAAATAATAAAAATCACAAATGTTAAGATCACAAATGCTGAGTCTACAGTAGAAATGTTAAGAACAAAAATGGAAATGTAGAACTAAGGAAAGAGGTCAGATGTAGAGACACAGAACACTCTACAAGGAAGTTCTGTGACACTATGCCATGAATAAAGAGAACTAAAGGCCTTTCTTCCACATCCTAAGCACTTGCCACAAGACAGGGTGAGCCTGCTAAAGAACAGAAGTACAATAAAGGAAAGAGCTAAGGACGATGACATATCCTCAAGGAACATTTAAGTGACAGGAGGAGGAAACAGAAAAAGACACACAAGGAAAAGTAAGAGAAGTAGGAGTAGAACGGATATTATAACAAAATAGAGGAAAATGTCACAAAGGAACACATGGTCAACAATGACAAATAGTTCACAAAGGTCTGAGAGGATGAGGAGTTTTGGGAGATTACCAGATTTGGTGATTTAAAGGCCTCTGGGACTTCTAGATATTTCTCCGTATGAATCTTACACAATGAAAATGTTTACCAAGTAGCCATATATTATTTTTAATTTGAGAAAAGAAGTTATTGGTATCCATCAGCAGCAGAATGGATAAGTTGTGATACAGTCACACAAAGGAAAACTACATAGCAATGAAAAACAACAAATTATTGCTACGAGCAACAACATGAATGAATCTTACAAATAAGATATCAATGAAAGAATCTAGTCACAAAAAAGTACAAACTGACTTCATTTATATGAAGTACAAGAAGCAAAACTAATCTATGGTGGTAGAGGTTTAGAAAGTGGTTACCTTTGAAGTTGGGTAATAACTGGGAGAAAGCACAAGGGAGCATTCTAAAGGTGCTAGTACATTCTACATATTGATCTAAACAATGATTAGATGTGTATATTCATTCTGTAAAAACTCAGTGGTCTGACCCTTTGATTTGTACAATGTATAAAAGTCACACCTCAGGAAAAAAATAAACATCAAAAAAAGTTATTGGTGACCTTGAATAGATCAATTTTGGGACACTGTATATGTAAAAGCCAAACTATAATGTTCAAGAATGTATACAAGGTAAGGAAGCTGAGACAGTGAATACAAACTCATTTTTCAAGAACAGTGAAAGCAAAGAAGAGATAACAAAGTAGCTTGGGTTGGTTACACAATTTACAGAAGTTATGTTTTTTGTTTTTATTTAAGATATTAGACAAAGAGAATAACATTCAAGGGCCTACCGCCCCAGTCTGTCAGTGGAGGCTTGCATGTTACTACATGTTGAACCGATTTCAGTGGAGCTTCCAGACTAAGACGGACTAGGAAGAAAGGCATGGGGACCTACTTCTGAAAATTAGCCAGTGAAAACCCTATGGGACAACAGTCCTATCCAAACCAATCATGGGATATAGCGCAGGAACAGGCAGCATCTCCTTCCGTTGTGCATGGGTCACCATGAGTTAGGGGCAACACAATGGCAGCTAACAACAACAGCAGCAGAAGAGAGGGAATGAAATTAAGGGCATTTGGAGGAACTAGGCTCACAGAGGAAGATGCATACTTCTTTCTCGAGCCTGAAGCAAAGGATAAGTAAACAAAGAAATTCTGAGAGGAGAAAATCAAGTAACCTTGAACTCTTCAATGAAGCATGCAGTAAGGTCAACTGGAATGAGTGAATAGATGCAGAAAAGGGCTCTGGGCTTGAAATACATTTTAAAATTTTGAAGCATGTACTGCAGAGATGTAAAAGACAAATATGGGGATGGAGGAGGACAGCAAGAGAGCAAAAAGCTCAGCAGCCTGAAAGCAAGGGGAGAGATGGTAGCGACTAGTGGAGAATAAAAAGTAGAAAAACAAAAGGGTAAAAAAAATCCAAGATGCTAACATGTGTATCACTGAAACTACACAATAAAGAATGATGTCTCTAAGGAAAATGTTTAAGTGAGGGGAAACAGGCAGGAGACTGATAAAAAGTGTTGAAAGGTTCAAGAATGAAGTCACTAGGGTCTGGAGTAAAAAAAAAACCATAGGGTTTCCAAGGCTGTAAATCTCTACAGAAGCAGATTTCCACATCTTTCTCCCGCAGAGCCGGAGCAGCTGGTGGTTTTGACCACCGAACTTTTGGTTAGCAGTAGATCACTTATAACCACTGTGCCACCAGGGCTCCTTCAGGGTCTGGAGTAGAGCTATGCAAAAGAAAAGCTGTCACTAAAGTTCATTACTACAGAACATACTTCAGCAAATCCCAGAAGATCAAGAACCATATATCTCTTCACTGTACTTCCTACAGCTGCTAATGGCAGCTTCTCCTCACTAATAAAATTAACCTTTATCCCCTACTCCTAAATACACCTACTCTAGACCAATAAATTACATAAACACATCCTCTCCGTTCAGAAACCTGATGAATGTTTTTACACTGCTTTCAATCCGTGCTTTCCCACCAAGGGGTTTTCAATGGTAACTCCTCGAAGGCAGTCTACATTCATGAATTCTCTGCTCACAAGAGTTGGGTCTGGGATTGCACACATGCAGATATTTTAAAAAGTGCTCTCCAATGAAGCAGACTGTTACTGAGGAAAACCTTAACAATGATTCCAAACACTCGTACAAGAATATAATGATGGCCAAATCAGGGAATGCTTAGGAATAAATCATCGATTTTCGTAACTGTCAAGAGAATCTCTAGGAAATAGGATAACATTTACTGTATCAAATTGACTTTCCCATCTTACACTATTTACTCCTCTGGGTAACTCCGCAGAACCCCTCTGCAGCTTGCTCACACCCAACCCACATTCCAGCGTCCTTTCTTCCAATCCAGAACCCCCGACTACAAACGCCCTTGGGACCATTTTTATTCCCCTATCCCCCCCTCCCCCGCCCATTTCCCCTTCTACCCCAGCCACCACTTCCATTTCTCCACTCCGATTCTTCTGCCTCTCTAGACCTCCCTCTCCTCCTCCCAAACTACTCAGTTCCCATCCCTCAAACTCCCTAGCCAGGGTCCTCCCGCTTGAGATCCCCTCCCCCACCGCTTCCATTCAGTATCCCCCTCCCCATCCTTTTTGACCCCGGCGGGCCCTACCTGCTCCTGGCCCTCTGGCCCCGCGGGCCCAGTCCGCTCCTCCGGCCGCTGCCTCCCGGGCGGCGCTCGCCGGCGCGGGGGCAGGGGCTGGGGTTGGGACTGGGGCAGCTCCGCCGTCCGCTGAGCCCCATCCTCCCAGCGGGCTGTCGGCGGCGGCGGTCCGTCGCGGCAGCG